TTTGTTTTTTGTTTTTTGGGGTTTTTTTTGAGTTGGAGTCTCATTATGTCACCCAGACTGGAGTGCAGTGGCCGCTCCCGGCCACCGCAGCCTCGACCTGATGGGCTCCGGTGATCCTTCCGCCTCAGCCTTCCGAGTAGCCTGAATTACAGGCACGCGCTACCACGCCCGATTGATTTTCTGATTTATTGTAGAGATGAGGTCTCGCTGCCGAGGCGGGTCTCGAACCCGCGGGCTCAGGCAATCCACTCACCTCAGCCTCCCAAAGGTGCGGGATTACAGGCTGAGCCATTGAGCCCGGCTAGTCCATTCAATCTTAAAGGCACAATTGAATGCTCTCTTTTTTCTGATATTTGTTCTACCTTCCAAACATAAGTAACGACCCCCTTTCAGTGCACCAGTATCACTTATTTACTTTGCTGCTGAAGTACCAATTGTATTATACAATGGTTAAGTCTATATAACAGATATCATAGTGGTAAGTTTAACACAATCACATGAAATTATAAGCATCCTGAGGGTAGGGACTATGTCTTATACATACTAGTATCTGTTTTGGCTAGCACTGAATCTAGTATTCAATAGGTATTCAATAAATATCTGTTGTCTTTTTCATGATCCACTGATTTTAATCTTGCATTATAATAAAATGGGCCTTACCCAGTTTTTTTTAGAATACCCTTACATGCAAGTTATAAGGTTTGTTTCTTTTACATAGATGACCCTAATTAAAATTGGTCTTCAGCAATATATGCCCTCAAGAGGGTACACTAGGGGCTATCTATAAGAAATACTTCAACACATACACAGAAAAGTTTATTCACATGCTACTTACCTAATGTCCATGCAAAATAGTATTTGGGTCTGGCAGCCAAAAGAGAGACATACAGATAGGTAACCTTTGTTAGCCACGAAGCTGTAGCTTGGAAATGCTCATCAATGTTGTACTCCACAGGTAAAGTTTTAGAAATAGTCAAGTGAAACAGTAAGGAAAGTCCACAGACTAAAAGCTTCTGAATAACTGCAATCTGAAAAGCAAAAGACGAGATTTCATAAATTTATTCCACACTCCTTTTAACTCATTTTATGTATTATAAACAGATTAATCTTCCTAAATGTACCATCATTTACTTATAACTTATCATGTACTTATAACTTTCCTGATCCAAAAAAAAAATCAAAAGCTACATTGTACTGAGCATTTACAGTCCCTTGTGGTCTCACAGAATGAACATTTCCAACCTTATCTGAGGATTATGGCTCAACTTACACTAAAACTTCAATTTGTGTTTTCAGAACTTCCAAAAAATAGATTATCTAAAAGCAAGCATAAGAGTATAGTTGCTAATGGAAGTGAAGACAAACTAAAAAAAAGAACATTAATTACTTTTGGTAGTGGGTCTTATATAAAGAATATGATATTTTTTCCACTGTGCTTTTTCTATATTTTCCAAATTCTAGGCATTTCATAGATATTATTTTTAGAATAAAGAAAATTATACATGTCTTTAAATCTGAAAGTTCTTTAATATAACTTTGTTCAAGAAGTATCTGAAACCAACAGAGTTACATACTTGAGAAGACTAAAGATTTGCATAAAAGACCCTGATGGAAATAAGAGGCCATTCTTTCCAATAGTGTGATAAGGTTAAATCATCTATCCATGGTACTACGTATTTTTACAACTCATGATTTTTTGTATTTTTAGAAGGCTAGTATATTTCAACCTCATTCAGTATAAAAGAGATATTACAGATTATGAAGGGAAAAAAACAAGTGAAAGGAAAAAACAGACTAGATCCAGATGAGGGTTTGCAACAAAATACTTAGATTTAGAGTGCCCTATACAATAACTAAATAATATTCAAACTAACTGAAGTAATTTATAAATGAAGATCTATATTTTAACACTTTATGTAACAGTGCCAAAAGGATATCTCAAAGACAAGAGTCAAAACATATGCTAGTCTCATTGCACTTTTGAAAAAACTATTTTATTCTTGGATTCTTGGGTTGCTCCTGCTAGGTGGTCCTCAAAGTTCAAAGATCTCTTGCTGCAGTTGCTATCATTTTCATTTTCCTAGTTGTCTTTTAAACTTTTCTCTAATAAAACATACTATTCTTTTTTTCAAACTTCCTTCCAAGTATCTTACCTATACATCTGAATAAAAGACTTTAAAAAGGTAATTAGAGAAAAATCTCATACATTAATCTAAAAATGGGGTAGATCATTTTAGTAATGTAATTAGAAATACTGTGGCCATTATGCTACATGCAAAGTTTCTAAGTCTCAGTTAAAAAAAAAAAAAGAAAATTAAAGTTACATATACACAATCTTAGCTACCAGGAGGTACACAAACCAGTGAGAATCCCAGAAAAGGATCAGTCGGTGCAGGCATCAGGTGAAGGCAGGCAGAGGCCTACAACCGGGAGCAGGGCTAATGAAAAGTCAGATGTAACCAGGTTTTCACAGCCTCTCTGCTCAGTAAGGTGGATGTGTATGAGGAGTGTATAAAACCATCTCTCTCTCCGTTTCTCCCTCTCTCTCTACACACACACACACACACACGTATATATCTTATACATATGTAAAAGAAAAAGTATTATACATAAAATTGGTATATATTGTTATATAAGATATATGATAAACATAAATCACCTTACTTTATATTAGATATATAGACATTGACATATCTTAGCAAAGTGGATGCCCTTCCGCCAGGAGCCCGAGAATACACATAACAAGAGAAGACCCAGGCTTTTCAACATAGTCCAGAGGAGAACGGGGTAAAGTGCAGGAATAAAAATGACCAACACTCAAGTTTGTATGTCTCAGGCAGAAGACTGGAGGATCCTTCACTCAAAAAACTAAACAGTCCCAGAGAACAGACCTATATACATCATGACAGAGACTAACAGGCATTACCCAGGAGCCTAATTTTCACTTGGGAACTGGGAAGTCTAGCTCAAGACAACACATCACAGCCTCTTGTTGAGCTGAGTATGGCTATGTGATTATGTTCTGGTCAATGGGATATGAGCAAAAAGTAATGTGCACAGGAAAGACAGAGCTTAGATCTCCAATACTACGGGGCTGCCATCTTATCCATGCATTCCCTACATGTGAGCTACCATGTAACAGAAAAATAAATTTCCATTTGGTTTAAGCTCCTGTTATTTTGGTCCTTGTTTTAGCAGCCAAACCTGATTTTCTTTCTTTTTCTTTCTTTTTAAAATTTTTTATTTTATTTTTTAAAATTATTATTTATTTTTTTAATTATAAAAATGTGGGATACAATTCAGGCTTAGGTATACAAACATTGATTATGCAGGTACCCCAAAATTTTTTGAAGAGATAGGGTCTCACTCTGTTGCCCAGGCTGAAGTACAGTAGGTGTGATCATAGCTCACTGTAGTTTCGAACTCATGAGCTCCAGTGATCCTCCCACTTCAGGCACCTGAGTAGCTGGGACTACAGGCACTTGCCATCACACCCAGCTGATTTTTTTAAAAAATGTTTTTCTAGAGATGGGGGTCTCACTATGTTGCCTAATGGCTCTTGAACTCCTGGTCTCAAGAGATCATCTCACTTCAGCCTCCCTAGTAGCTGGGATTACAGGTGTGAGTTACTGTGCCTAAATGAAATGCCAGTTTCAAGTATGAAATTCAACCCATTTTGACGTGGCATTTCCTAATTAACACTTAACCAGTTAAAAGAAAGTATAAAAACATGACCTTAAAGGAGAAAATTAAAAAAAAAAATTTTTCAATTGAAAACAAAAACATCTTTTTTGGTATAAACATGAGTTACATAGTAGAAAAGACACCATATAATAGCTTTTGTGACTGGGTGCACATTTCTACATTAGTTTTTGTTGCCCACACAGATAAAGGATGGCAGGTTATAGGAGAAAGTAGGTGACCCTTTGCTCTAAGCCCCACATTCAGAGGAAATATACTTGCCCCTTTTCTTCATCTCACAGACTTTGTGATTAGCCTATTATTTCTCATGGAACACTTAGACTTTACCAGATCAAATCCAACAAAAACTCAGTCTACACAAAGCCTCATAGCCTTTTTTTATGAAGCAGAATCTCAGCAGTTTCAGATATCCTAGTAGCTCAAAGGAAGTAAAATTATGTTCAGTTGTCAGATAATTTAGCACAGTCTTGGTCCCAGACTGAACTGGTTTGGATTCTACTTCTCCTACTAATAATATGGGGAAATCCTGGTCAAATTACTTAGCCCCTGAATCTGTTTCTGTATTTGTTAGATGCTGAGAAAAATGGCACCTACCTCATAAGATTACTGTGAAGGATGAAAGAGTAACTGTGTGGGGTGCTTACAACAGTGCCTGGCATATAGTGAGTGCTGTCAAAGTGTTGCTATTATTATCTCTTTATTGTAGGAATCAGAAATGGTTTTGTGAGAAAGGTGATATTTGAAGTAAATCTTTAAAGCGAAATAAGATTTCAATTGGCAATGATTAGGGAGAGAAGAGGAAAAGCATAAAAGGAAGGGAGAACAGAGTGTTTATAATTTGCTGGAACACAAGACACAAGTCATAGGTAAAAGAAAAGCCTAGAAAATCAGGTTGACCAGTACCTAATTTTCCAGCTTTATATATATATGTATGTATATTTATTTATTTTTAGTAGGAGTCTCACTTTGTCGCCCAGGCTGGAGCACAGTGGCATGCTCTCGGCCACTGCAGCCTCAACCTGCAGGGCTCAGGCAATCTTTCCATAGCCTTCTGAGTAGCTGGAACCACAGGTGCACACCACCATACCCAGCGAATTTTTGTAGAGATGAGGTCTCACCAAGTTGCCCAGGCTGGTCTTGAACCCCTGGGCTCAGGCGATTCTCTTGCCTCCATCTCCCAAAGTCTGGGATTACAGAAGTGAGCCACCATGCCCAGACTTGAAAAATATTTTTAAAGAAATGGATGGGCAAATTAAAAATGTGAAAATATTGACACCTTTAAATAAATAAGACTAAACAATACATGCTCTAAAGGCTCCAGATAAACCTCATGATCTTACATTTGGAGATGGCTCTGTTCTTTCATACTGTGTTTCTTCTTTTCCGTTTTTTCCTGGTTGTGTCATATGATATGATCTGCCTTCAATGAAAGTAATGTAGTCTTTGTAAGAGCAGAGTGGGCCTGCCAGGATACCCATGAAGTTACAGGTATAACTTAAATACTCCAGTAGGCTTGGCATGCGCCTGCAATGAAAACACATGCAACTTGTGAGATGTAACATAAGCTTTTCAGAAAACTTGATAAATAATAATCTATCTTGCTGCTCTTACCATTTCCAAAATAAAACAAACCTTAATTTTCATTTGCACCCATATAGTAAGAATGTAAAGACCAGGATGGTATAATGCACAATAGTATTTTTGAATGAGAGTTTTTATATAGATATATATGAGCAAATATGAGGGGTTTCTACTTAAATTTATCACAATGAAACAAACCTAAGATGGACGTGCTATGGCATAAGGTATCATCTCTTACTAGTCAGTTTTCACTCACTTAACAAATACATGTTGTATGCTATGTACTCAGCATGCTCCATGGTATCGAGATATAGCAGTAAACAAAACAGAGGAAAATTCTGCATTTGTGGAGGTTATATACCAGTTACAAAAGCCATAAAATAAATTTTATACACACACATATTATATGTATATATAATTATACATAGCATTACAATGTAACTATGTATGTAGTACTTTCAGCGACGCTAACTGCTACAAAGAGAACGGGGTAGTTTATTATATTAACAAGTCAAAGAGGAGTTGTACAGATGTCCACGACAGAAATTCCCAGCAGAAGGAATGATCAGTGGAGAGATCCCTGAGCTAGGCATGCCTGGCAGTAAGGAGGCTGTGAGGCTGGTCGACACTGAACCCAAGGAAGGAGGTGAGACAGAGGGTAGAGAGCCAAGGAGAGATACTATGGGGCCTGCCTTATTAGGCATGGCAAGAACCTTAGGCTTTATTCTGAATGAGATGAAAAACCACGGTAGAGTTTTAAAGACCTATGTTTCAAAACATCACTCTAGCACCTGTGTGTGGACCTGTCAGTAGGCTCATGCAGTCTTCAGGCAGGAAGTGACATTGGCCGGAGGAGTGGGGCAGCACATACTGCACATATCTTGGCAGTAGAGCCACAAGGTTGTGATGGATTGGCTGTGGGGTGTGAGAGATAAGGGAGTCAAGGATGCCTCACAACATTTTGAATTCAATTGCTTTGAGCTCTATCCAAATAATACCCATAGGTCACAGGGTGAAAATGGTTGGTTAACACAGGAGACCATTTAGACTATCAGTGTTATCATATAAATGAATAAGCAGTTTAGATTTTTATTTATTTTTAAAGCCAACTCCATTAGTCAAGTTTACTGCCCACTGTCAATTACAAACTATTACAAATAAAAGAACTATACCTGGGGACAGTAAGCAGGCTTCTTGAACATGTTACAATCCTTTCTTCCTCTCTACATATGATAAGCTATCTCCTTAAAAAACAGAAACATTCTTTGTAGGCAAGAGAAGTTGAGAGAACACCTCTTATGTTGTATGTACTATCATTTATTTTTCTTTTAAAGAAGGGATCTCACTATATTGCCCAAGTTGACCTGCACTCCTGGGCTCACTCCTACCTCAGCCTCCTGAGTAGCTGAGACAAACAACAGGTGTGAGTCACCACACCAGGCTTATTATAATACTTAGTAAAGTATCATTATTATTATTATTATTATTTTAAGTTAAATTAAATTACAGGCTCACACCTGTAATCCCAGCACTTTGGGAGGCCGAGGTAAGAAGACTGCCTGAGTCCAGGAGTTCGAGACCAGCCTAGGCAACATGGCAAGATCTTGTCTCTATAACAAATCTATCAATAAATAAATTAGCTGGGCATGGTGGTGCACACCTGTAGTCCCAGCTACTTGGAAGGTTGAAATGGGAAGATCGCCTGAGCTCAGTAGGTTGAAGCTGCGGTAGCTGTGACTGTGCCACTGCACTCCAGCCTGGGCAAGAGAGTGAGTCTCTGGCTTGAAAATAAATTAAAAAACAAAATTAAAAATAGAACAAAACATTCATCTGGCAATATCTAGATTACCACACAGTCAAAACTTCCTTTTTAATTTTTCCAGCATTATTTTTCCACATTTAAAAGCATCTTGAATCTGAAACTTTAGTTTTTTGTTAGGGCTCAAAACTGATGACAGAAAATATTTCTGGCAGATATTCTCTTTTAGTTCTTTCTATTTCATGATGAAATTGTGTACTTTCTCACTATATCAAGCACCAGGGTAAGCACCCTGCAATCACAAGGTTACAAAAAAACTCCCTACCCAGCAGCAGTGCTTCACGCTCAATACCAATTACCTTTAATACCAAGTCAAACTGTGTATCATGATTTGCAAGGGCAGGAGATAACTCTTAACCATGAAATGTGCTGATGTGATTTCTGGCTCAACTGTCATCTCGAACAAGTCACTGTATGTACTAAAGTAAATAACAATAACATTTGCTATTAAAAGGAGGACTTAAGTCTAATTGTAATGTTTCATTTACACTATTAAACAAAAACCTTTCATTCATTCATTTCATCAATACTCATTTGATATCAATGATGTGTTGCTTTAAGTGATAGCTTCTCAACTGCAGAATTCAGTAATTAAATTCTGGGTCAATGAGTCTTTGTCAAAGGGACTGTCCTGTGCATTGCAGGCTGTTAAGCAGCATTCGCAGCTTCTGCCCACTAGATGTCATCAGTAGCACTTTTCCTCCCAGTCGTGGCAGCCAAAAATGTCTCTGGATATCGTTAAAGGCCTCTTGGGGGCAAAATCACTCCTAGTGGGGAAACCACTATTTAGGTGATGAAAACACAATGATAAACAAGACAAAAGTTCCTTTTCTAAATTACCTTGTATTTGAAGGGCAGGGGAGGAACAATTCAAATAAATATATTATGTAACATCAGACAGCAATCCATATGATGAAGAAAAACAAAGGGACCGAAAGTGGCGGCAAGGCAAAGGGAGCATTCCTTGGCAGCAGGGTCTGCATAGCCAAGAGAGGACTGAGTGAAGAAGGGGCACAGAGTTCCAGGTTCTTGCTAGGCCTCACATGCTATGTTCAGGGTTTGTGATTATCTTCCAATGACAGGAAAAGCCACTGAAGGATTTTCGTCAGAGGAGGGGAATAATATAATCCAATGCACATTAAAAGGATCTGTCTCCTAGCTGAAAAGCAGGCTGCAGAGGGAATGGAAGAAAATGGGGAGACCAAATAGAAAACGAGGGTCTGGGCTACGATGATGCTAGTGGAAATGGTGACAATCAGTCAGATTAGAGATCTCTTTTAAAGGAAAGGCTACATTGACTATAACTGGTGAAGGGTATTTACAGTAAGAAAATGAGTCTGCCTAAATTTCCCCCCAAGCCACTAGTGATAAGTTGCACCGCTATTAACTAAGTGGGTAACAATGGTGAAGGAAAAGTTGGAGGGGGGTGGGGGGAAAAAGGGAGGCAGAAATTAGAAATTTTGCTTGAGCAAGATCTGTTTGAGCTGCCCATCACTATTCACATGCAAAGATGCTGAAATGGCAAATGGCAATTGGATATACGAGGCTGAAACTCAGAGAAGTTTGAGTGGGAATATAAATGCAGGAGACTTTTTTTTTTTGAGACAGGATGTCATTCTGTCACCCAGGCTGGAATGTAGCAGTGTGATCCTGACTCACGGCAGCACCACCTTCTGGGCTCCCACCCCCAACCCCTACCCCCAGTAGCTGGGACTATAGGCACATACCACCATGCCCAGCATTTTTTTTTTTTTTGAAGCGATAAGGTCTCACTGTGTTGCCCAAGCTGACCTCGAACTCCTGGGCTCAACTGATTCCCCCACCTTGACCTCCCAAAATGCTGGGATTACAGGCCTGAGCCACCGTGCAGAGCCAGACATTTAGGAGACTTTAAACATGCAGATGGCCTGGCCTTTAAAGCCAACAGAGGCATGTGATCACCTGGAGAAACTGAGAAGCAAAGAGCTGAGCCCTGGAGTACACCAAGCTAACGGTAAAGCAGAGGCAGGGGATTCAGCAAAGGAGAAAGAGAGAAAGAGCTTGTGAGAGAGGAGGAAAGACCAAAGAAAGTTGTGTACTGGAAGGCAACTGAAGGTATTTCAGGACAGAGTGGTCAAATGGGACAATGTTGTGGAGAGGTTGAGCATCATGCAAACTGAAGCTGACAATGGAATTTGCCAAGATTAAGGGCAACCTTGAAAGCATGATTTCTGACCAAGAGTGAGGACAAAAATTAACTACAGGGGGTTGAGGAGAGGAAGTGGAGACAGTAAGTATAGACAAGGCTTTCACAGAGAGTTGCTGTAAACAAGTGTGGAGTAATGAGGTGGTGGTAGCTAGAAGGGAGTGTAAGAAAAGCAAGCTGTTTCTGTTAAGTTGGGAGAGAATGATCCAGAGAGAGAGAAACTGATAATCTATGATGCAAGAGATGAGATAACTGAGGCAGCAAAATCCTTGAGAAGGAACTGGATTCAGTTTAGAAGTGAAAAGTTGGCTTTAGATTACAAACACCTAATACTTTGTATCTGAAAAGAAAGAGTACTTTGTTATTGATTCAGGCAGTATGGTAGATTGTGTGGTTGCAGAATGAGGTAGGTTGCTTTTATTTCCTCTAAAGAATAAACTTTTGCTACCACCAAGAGTATGGGGGAGTACCAGGAAGTATGAGGAGAAAGAATATTTAATCTTACAAGAGTATAGGAAAGTGAGTAGACTAAGGAAATGTAGTGGAATTGTTGGCAGCACTAAGCATCATAATTTTAAATTTGAGGTAACAAATTCAAACTGAGTATGGTCAGCAAGACTGAATTGTTTCCACTCAGATTTCTTCTACTGTTCAGATAGGGGGAGAGTTAAACTTAACCAGGTTTGGGGATTTGCGCTCTATGTAAGACGGAAAGAAGAAACAGGAGCTGGACTCCTAAAGATTACAGGACCCAGATCAAATCACTCTCTCGTCAGTTAAGTATATTTATGTATATATTTTATTTTTTATTTTTTAGAGTCAGAGTCTCACTCTGTCACCCAGGCTGGAGTGCAGTGGCACGCTCACAGCCACTCCAGTGTCGACCTGCTGGGCTCAGGTGATCCTTCCACCTCAGCCTTCCAAGTGGCTGGAACTATAGCTACCGTGCCTGGCTAATTTTTTAATATATTGTAGAGACAAGGTCTCACTAAGTTGCCCAGACTGGTCTCGAACTCCTGGGCTCAGGCAATTCTCTCGCCTCAGCCTCCCAAAGTGCTGGCATGACAGGTTTGAGCCACCGCACCTAGCCAGTGAAGTATATTTAAATGCATATTTATTGGTATATAAAGATTGACTATAGAGAATATCAGAATAGAACACTTTTTAAAATGGGGAGAATATAAGAAGATTCCCAAGACCTGCTACGTGGGATCAAAGATGAACACTTAGTGTAGGTCTAGCTACTGTCACAAACCTGATCTCATTCTTGAAGCAGCTATGCATTTACTAGTTTTAGATTTACAAACAAGATAATCCACAGGAGATTTTTCTTTAAGTAAAATGAGTATTTGACCTCTAATTATATCATGTTGAGATAGAACCTTTGATTAATCATCAGAGTACCTTCAATAAATGAAGGATAAGGCTATTCTAAAATGAATTCCTTAAATAATACTGAAAATTATCTTACTGGCTCTTCATTATTTCAAAACATGACATCTATGTGCTATTATTAATGTATTAGACCTTAGTCCAGTTCCTGCTATCAAGTTACTAGTCTATAAATGGTAGCTACTAGTATTACTAGTAATTATCACACAGCAGAGATTAATACTATACTATCTTCCTGTTTTCAAGGAACTCAGAGTCTCATAGGAACAAAAAATTTAGCAGATAGTCTCATGGTCCACAGGAGGCAAGAGGCTTTAGGAGCCTTAGAAGAGATGCCTAACCCAGCCCCGCAAGAACTGGTGGCAAGGAGGTGTGCAGAGAGAGCAAGGCTTGGTTTTCAGAGCTAAGTGCCTCTAGAAGAACTAGCAAGTCTTACCCACAAGAAGTAATGTGTATCCTAGACAGAGAGGTGGGAACCGTGGCAGGACACAGTGCAAGGGCACATACCTTACAGCTAAACCCCTCTGTGATGGAGTCAGTTCTTCATCCTTTCGAAACATCCCTAAGAAACAAAGACAGGTACTTTTATCAGTTATGCATTATCCCAAGAATAGCATTTTTTCCCACTCATGCTTTCATCACTTTCCTCATCTGAAATTCAATGCTATATTCCCAATTTTGATATAATGATTTTTCCTTTCTTTTTCATGGCAACACAGAGTCAATCATGTGAACGGTCTCCATAACATAAATAACACATTGTCAGGGAACAAAAAGTCCTTAATCTAATTCCTCTCTTAAAAAAAGTATTAAGCTAAAAAATTCCTAAATGCTAGAACTTTTAAAATGATAAATTTATTATCCTTAATAGTGTATGCTATGACTTTCCAAAAAGGGCTACTACAATTTTTTTTGTTATTGGGTGACTTAAATGACTAAACACCAAATACTATGAACTAAAAGCTCAACATAAAGCAAGGAATAATTTCCTTACTCCTGCGTGACTTCAATGAATGAAAACTGAACTCAAAAACATGATCTTCATCCATTTATTCACATTTTCCCTCTAAGGAGAAGGATATATTATTTAAAATGATATCCCAATTTACTGGATCCATCTGCTTTTTAAAAATATATAACTAAAATCCAAACTAAAGACCAAAGGGGAAATAATTTAAGAACAGCTCACTAGAAAATATTTGCAGTAAATATAGTAAGGTGCTAATATCCCCCAAAGAACCAAAACTAAAGTAATAAAAAAACTGAGATAAATTAGACAAAAACTAAAAACATAAGATAAATCATAAAATAAATGGAGCAGCCAATTAACATACAAAATGTTAATTTCATGATTAATAACGCCTTCATTATTAATCATTAAGAAATGAACATTTAAAAAAAATGAGCTAGGCACAGCAGCTCACATCTCTTTGGGAGGCGGAGGCAAGAGGATTGCCTGAGCCCAGGGGTTTAAGACCAGCCTGGGAAACTTGGTGAGACCTCGTCTCTACAGTAAATCAAAAATTAGCCAGGCATGATAACGTGTGCCTATAGTTCCAGCTACTTGGAAGGCTAAGGCAGAAAGATTGCCTGAGCCAAGCAGATAGTGGCTGTGGTGGCTGTGTATATGCCACTGCACTCCAGCCTGGGTGAGAGAGCGAGACTCCTACTCAAAAAGAAAAAAGAACAAGAGTCCATTTCCACCTATTCCAAGTATGCAAAAAATTTTAAAGCACTGTAACTCATATAGCATGGGCTCAATTATATAAAACACATACATTTTTATGTATGCCATAGGTATACAAAACAAAAATAACAAGGAAATAATTACTGACTTAAAATGCTCTGGAAGCTGTTCTATACATTAAAGGAAGAGCAGAGGAAAAACAAACTCCCTGATTTCACAGCACTTATATTTTGGTATGGAGACAGAATACAAATAAACACATACATGAACTACCAAGAGGAACTTACATCATTTTTCTATAAACCAGCATAGCAAACACTTTAAAAATACTTATATTCTTTAGCTGTAATGTTCTAACAGAAGGAAATAACTGAAGATGTGATTCGAGATTTACGACAAAGATCATCACAGCCTTACATGTGATAGCAAAGAAAAAAAGTAATAACCTACATATACAACAATTAGGAATGGGAAAATAAATAAGTATACATATACTTTTGATTTCTATGTAAAAAGAAAACTATGTCTTATAAGAAGATAAAGGAAATAGATCAAATATTAATTTTAAAAAAAGGTCTGGTTCTGAGGAATGTTCAGAAACAGACATAAAGGATTCTTTATTTTTTTCTTTGTACTTAATTGTATTTTTCAAATTCTCCTCATAATCATAAACCTACTTTTTGTAATCAGAAGGAAGAAAAACACTTAAAAAGATGGCTGAAGATGAGAAAAAGGTAAAACACTTCCCAGAGTAAAACTCAAAAGGATAACTGCTACTTTTGACAATTCTACATTCTTCTCCGTATCAGATACTCACATTATTGTCCACCCTTTCCTAAAAAAACAAGAGCTATCTTTAGAAATGAGGATCAGCATTCATTTTCAAAAAACTCCTTAAGCTTTTTGTTTCGTCACCCTTTTACCAAGCAAGTGGCATGTTAATAGCCTCATTTGTGATCTCAAGCTTTGCTATATATGAAATATTGTTATGGTTTATTCAGCATTTCTAAGTACTTGGTACAGCATGGGGCTTCTACATCACTTCAGTCTGCCATGTTGAGCAGAGAAGTTATCATCTTTTCAGAATTGTAAATTAGCCAAGGAAAGTAGATATAGAACTTGAAGGACACGGCTGGGTGTAGTGCCTCAGGTCCATAATCCCAGTACTTTGGGAGAAAAAGGCGGGAGGAGTGCTTGAGCCAAGGAGTTTGAGATCAGCTTAGACAACACAGCAAGCCCTCATTTTTAAAAAATTCCAAAACATTGGCTTGGTACTGTGGCTCATGCCTGTAATTCCAGCACTTTGGAAGCTGAGGTGGGAGCATTGCTTGAGGCCAGGAATTCAGGACTAGCCTAGGCAACATAGTGAGATCTCGTCTCTACAAAAAACAAAAAATTAACCAGGTGTGGTGGTGTGCACCTGTAGTCCCAGCTATTGGGGAGGCTGAGGCAGGAGGATCACTTGGATCCAGGAGTCTGAAGCTGCCATGAACCGTGATCATGCCACTGCACTGCAGTCTGGATGACAGAGTGAGACCCTGACTTAAAAAAAAAAAAAAAAAAAGTTAGCCAGGTGTGGTGGTGCATGCCTGTAGCCCCAGGAGATTGAGGCTGCAGTGAGCTGTGATTGTGCTACTGTACTCTAACCTGGGTGACATAGTGAGACCATGACTCAAAAAAAAAAAAAAAAAAAAACCCAAACAGAAAACCCGAAGGGCAGATTTTCACAGAATAAATCTGTACTAAAAGTCTACATGCACAACAAGCCTAGCTTCCTTTCTCAATTTAAAATTTGGGAATTTGCCAACAGAATGACCAAAAACCAATTGAAGACAATATACCACTTTTAAAAGCTAGAATCCTAACCAAGTACAAATTATGTAGTCCAGCATATGATGGGAAACAAGAAAACTTCTGAGCACTAACACCACACTGAACGAAGTGCTGCTGTTTGTTATTACTGTTGTCTAACAGCTGATACAGGTATTCTGGTGATGCTATTGTGCTACTTAATTATCCTGAACACATTATCTTTTCACTGTATTAGTGGTATTTTATATTCTTTATGTTAAAGACTCATGTGTAAGTAAGAGAAAATGACTGCTTATTAGTAGTACGTAAATTCAGAGTCAGGAATGACGGTGATGCCAAACAATCACAGACTATCCACATGAGGGTTGAGATAGTGCCATCTTTGCTTTCTGATGGTTCAACGTATACAGACTTTGTTGAATGTACAAAATTATCTTAAAAATTGTATAAAATTGCCTTCAGCCTATGTGTATAAGGTGTGTATGAAACATTAATAAACTGTGTGTTTAGACTTGGATCCCATCCTCAAGATATCTCATTATATATGTGCAAATATTCCAAAATCCAAAGAAATCCAACATCTGAAACACTTCTGGTCTCAACCATTTCATATAAGGGAACCTGTACCTAACCAGGCTGAAGTGCTTATTTCTACTGTGAGGTGACATTAATGAAGCTGCCAGCAAGAAAATACCATCCCTAGAGGACAAACTACAAGTCAGGCTTCATGACCAAACATACTATCAAGTTGTTTTAGTCATCCATCCTAAGCTCTCAGCAATCTTATATATATAATTCAAAACCAGAAAGGTAGGTAGGCTCAAGTACATTAGGTGATGTAGTGATTAGGTGAAGTATGTTAAGATGATGAAATGTCTTAATAACCATGCATAGAAATTTCTCAAGATAAAATACCACCTGCTTCCTGAAGCTGCAAGTGTGAATGATGCTACTGGTTTGATAGAAACAGACACAGTTTTAGATATATCATTTATTTGGTTTCATCTAGGAGTTTTCATCAGAACAAATCAGATTGTGCAGAAGACAGTTAACACAGTTCTGAGTCTATCTATCCTTAAAAAGGCCTGTTTGTAAGGCTGGCCCAGAACTCGGCTGGTAAACAGTCCCCTACTCTGATATAAAATGTTTCCTGTGCCTAGACTGTTTATGCCAACAATATGGGTTATTCTGAACATCTACTTCCCTTCTGGGAGCCTGGAATTTTGGTATGTGCTAGGCGTTGGGTACCTATGTGACTAGCCCCCAATAAAAATCTTGGGTGCTGAGTGTCTAATGAGCTTTCCTGGCAGACATTTCACAGGTGTTGTCACAACCTGTTGCTGGGGGCATTAAGTGCACTCTCTGTGACTCCACTGGGAGAGGACTCTTGGTAACTTGAGACTGATTTCATCTAGGCTTGCAGGTGCCTTTGCACTTTTACTGACTTTGCTTGCAATTTCTGCACTGTAATAATACAGCTTAGCCATGAATTTAACTATATGCTGACCCTGTGAATCACCAAACTGAGGGTAGTTTTGGTGTCCCCTGAAACACATATAAGGCCCTCCTCCATAAGACTAGTTGGGAAAACATACGTTGAGGTTCAATCCATGCCTGGGGCATAAAGGGGCAGCTGGTGTGAAGGGTGGCAAACCTGTAGCATACTGTTCAGCAGGATATAATAAAGTGAACTGGAGGAGGAACCATTTTGAAAAGTTAGAAAGTATTAATCCCTCAAATATTGCCAAGGCTAATCAAAACCTGAACAGTTCTAAAGAGATAATTACCATTAAATCCATTAAAACAACAAGTCACAACATGCGGTCATTGTACTTCTAATTCTGATTAGAATACATATTGTCATCAGATGCTTCTAGACCTATGGACAAAATTATATCCCTGGATCCATAACTCTCCTATATTCTCTGACCAGACTCGTGGGAGTAACCTGTCATCAGCACAATGCAGAAGTGTTAGTACCTGAAGATAACTGTATGCCTTTACTTACAAGCATTTCATACTATGAGTTTTATGACTATAGTCTAGTATAAAGCTCTGGTGAGCTCTGGTGAGTTCCACCAGTTGCGCTCAGGATGCAGGTACTAAGATATACCATACGTAAATTATAACCCATGAAAAAACCCTCCAAGGTATTTATTATAAATAAATTGACAAACGAGGAAACTGAGGCATTAAGAAGCAGAACTGGAATCTGAGTGACTTTTCTATATTCTCCCGCCCTCAAAATTCACATTCCTTCCACTTCTTCATGTTGCCTCCTATGAATAATTTTCTCTCACTGGTGTTTGTCAACTTTCTGAATATTCAGACTTGAATAAACAAGTATCAAAGATTTCTGTTTTTTTTTTAGAGACAAGTTCTTGCTCTGTCACCCTGGCTGGATTACAGTAGCATGATGATAGCTTATTGGAACCTCCAACTCCTGGGCTCAAGTGATCCTACAATTTTGCAGCCTCAAGTTTTAGTTGCTCAGTCACCCAAGTAACTAGAACTACTAGTGCCATGCCGGTTTTTTGTTTGTTTTGGGGGGTTTTGTTTTTGCTTTTTTGTTTGTTTTTAAGAGACAGGGTCTCGTTATGTTGCCCAGGCTGATTTTGAACTCCTGGCCTCAAGTGATCCTCTCCCAAAGTGCTAGGATTACAGGAATGAGCCACTGTGCCCAGTCACGTGTCAGAGATTTTTAAAAAGTAGAGTACTTAATCTACCTCCTTCCTTCTACCTGCTCCCTGCAAAACAAATAAGCAAACAACAACAACGAAAAACAAAATAATTGATTTTGCTTGTTAGTAGCAAAAGGAAGAAAGACAAAAAATACTCCCTTTCTTACAGTATTGTCAAGGTTGGTCTTCTGACAGTAAGACCTGGATGGGAAAACCTGGCTGGAGATTGGGCACAGGATGGGTGGATTTACACAGTGGGGCTAAAACCCATCTTAAAAGCTTCTCAAACTACATACAAATGAGTGTTCTAACAGGGATAGCCCACTCCCTTAAAAAATTTCTTTGGAGTTGAGGTCTCACTGTCACCAGGTGGAATGCAGTGGCATGATCACAGCTCCCTGTAGCCTTAAACTCATGGGCTTAAGCTATCTTTCTGTCTCAGTCTCCCACATAGCTGGCAGGACTACAGGTGCACACCACCAGGTCCAGCTAATTTTTTCTATTTTTTGTAAAGACAAGACCTCACTATGTTGCCCAGGCTGGTCTTAAAATCCTAGGATCAAGCAAGCCTCTGGCCTTGGTCTCCCAAAGTGTTAGGAGTACCGGAGTGAGCCAACACACCTGGCCTCCCTCAATTTTTGAAGGAATCAAGACCTATATCTTATGATTCAGAGTTCTGACTGTTAAGTTTCCTATGGCTATATGTCCATTCAATGACGATATAAAAGTTAGAAATATTTATAATAAAAATATATGTAAATATGTAAATATGCATATGTGTATATAAAGGAGAGGAGGTAGGGAAAAACACACAAATTTAAATATAAATTTGACCCAGAGGTGAAGCAGGAATTAACAACACTTGGTTTGGACCAAATGACTATTGTGTTTATATTTTCAATTGTCAGTAACGTGGATCATATGGCTAAATCACACTGTTTTATTTTTTGTCACTGAACTGAATTCAAAATTAAGATAAAACATTGAAGGACAGCAAGTACATTTTAATAACCCTAAGCAAAGTTCAATGTATTTCCCTATCTACTTCCATCTTCTATCCCTCTCCTTACTCTAATAGAAAGCAGAACGTTACGGTAATATCTCAAGCAAATGATGTATGTGAATAGGATTTTCTTTTAGCAACAAAAAATTAACTCCAAAATTCTTACCATCATGAATTTCGTAAGCCAAACTAGTGATCTTCTGAGTAATGATCATCATTGGGCTATGACAAGATAAAAAAATTTAATAGAAGAAAGTTAAAACAATACTTTTATTGTTTTATATGAAATAGTTTTTTCTGCTTATATGACTACAAATCCTGAAATTTTTAACATAACAAAACCTTGATACATATGAAATAGTTTTTTCTGCTTATATGACTACAAATCCTGAAATTTTTAACATAACAAAACCTCCAGGGGAGGTCCAAAGAAATCATTCAGGAGCTATGTGTTTGGGGAAGGTACAAGAGATGGGGAATCTGGGTCTTTTCTCTTGATTTACCAAGCAGAACAAAACAAAACAAAACAAAAAGGCTCTACCCCACAAAGAAATGTTCTGTGAGCCAGTGACCCAAACACACCTCTTCAAATTACACATTATAAATGAGGCCTGGAGGGGAGAAGCACATCTCCTTCTTCTGACTCAATACCTTCTTCAACAAACCATGCTACCTTCTGCCTCAGGGCTGAATATAAAGGTGAAGAAAAGTAAGTTGCCTGGGAAAAAGGAACGAGCAGAAAATGAAAGGAGTCTGAGTGAGAAACAGAGGTGGAGAACAAATCAGAACAGAATGACCTAGGAAAAAGGACGAATTTCCATCTTCCTATTCCATGCCTATTAGGCATGCTAGAGGTTAAAGACCCTAAACAAGACCATCTAAAGTATCCAAATCACTATGTACTTTAAAGAAAACAGGACTTAAACTCATGTTACAAGTAAGAAGATGGCAGTATTTTCCCATATTTTATAATTATTATATGAATGGGTAACTTGGGAAGAAAAAAAAATACAGCCATATAAAAAAGCCAACAGGATGCATTTTTATCCTTTAATGATTACATTAGTTTACAGATGGTATTAAAAAACAATTAACAAGAAGTTATTTACTTAACTTTTCAAAACAGTAATAATGCCGGGAAGTTGTGTTTTGCCTAAAAGTAGAACGTGCTCTCTACATGCTGGGAGCATTAGGTGTTTTACTGAATCCTCAGGACGGTGCAGAGCCCGCAAGAATCACCCCCACAAGCCACCAAGGGAGGGGGTCAGAAAGGTTAGCCACACAGCCAGGGAGCCATAGGGGAGGCTCAAGTCCTGCAGGTCAAGTTCTGCACTCCCACCAGTCCACATTGCTCAGCGCAGACTCATTAGTGTCCACTGCCACCTTAGGCAAAACAGCAGTGTCTGAAAGAAAACAATTCCTCACAAGTCACACACCGTGGCAGCAGCTGTTTTAAACATTCCTACCACTGGAAATTAGATTCACAGATCTGAGCCCTTGAGAACTTACAGCTCGTTCTCACCTAACAGACAAAGTCTCATAAATGACAAATGCTTAAATTGGAAGCACTGAAGAGAGGAGATTTCTTTTAGGTTCCCTTAAGGTCACTTCTTATATTTAAACCACTCACTCTCGAGAAATAATTCTTCAACCAACCTAATCCCCTAGGTTGCTTTGAACTCCAGGCTGCCATTTCTGCTTTGCAAGATTTTCTTCATGCCCTTGAGGATTATAAAAGTGCCCTATAATTTCCATTTCCCTGGGGGAAAATAATCATTTTCTCACCCTAATTCTCTTCATAGTTTTTAGCTCACCAGTGAATTATAAAATCCCATTCAGTTCTAAATTCTAATTCTCATGGCACCTTAAAACATAATATAAACTGATAAAATAATTATTAAATTTATTTTATCAACTCAGTGATATATTAAGCTGTTAGGTATTATATAATAAGATGTCCTAAAAATGCAAATACGTACTTTTTGAGTGTATGTCTTTATTGTGCTCATTTGTGCCCCTGCACCCTCATGTAATTCAAATCATTTTATGAGGCTAACATCACACTGATACCCAAACCAGGTAAAGATCCAGCAAAGAAAAAAAACAGAGGCCAATATCCTTGATGAATATAGATGCAAAAATTCTCAAAAAAAATTCTAGCAAACCAGATCCAACAATACATCTCAAAAATTATCCACCATGACCAAGTAGGCTTCATCTCCAGGATGCAGGGCTGGTTCAACATCCACAAGACCATATACATAATTAAGTACAACAAAAAATGTCAAAACAAGAACCACATGATTATATCATTAGATGCAGAAAAAGCTTTTGAAAAAATCCAGCATCCCTTCTTGAAAATAACCCTGAACACCTAGGTATAGATGGAACATACTCAAAATAGCAAGAGCCATCTATAATAAACCCACAGACAACGTACTGCTAACAGACAGAGATTGAGTGTTTCCCCAGAAAACCTGAACAAGGCAAGGTTGCCTACTCTCACCCCTCCTGTTCAACACAGTGTTGGAAGTCCTGGCTAGAGCAATCAGACAAGAAAATGAAATAAAAGCCATCCAAATAGGAAAAGAGGAAGTTATCACTTTCTGCGCACGACATGATCCTATACCTTGAAAATCCAAGAGAATCTGTCAAAAACCTCTTTACACTGATAAAGGACTTTGGCAAAGTCTCGGGGTATAAAATAAATGTACAAAAGACAGTCTCATTCCTATATTCCAACAATAAACTGACAGAACCCCAAATAAAAAGCACAATTCCATTCACAATAGCCACAAAAAAAATGCAATACCTTGCATCTTCCTAACCAGAGAAGTGAAAGACCTTAACAATGAAAACAACAAAACATAGATCAGAGAAATCACAGATGACAGAAACAAATGGAAAAATATCCCATGCTCACGGATTAGACGAATCAACATTGTTAAGATGTCCATCCTACCAAAGGCAATCTACAGATTTAAGGCAACATGCATTAAATTACCAATATCATTCTTCTAAGACCTGGAAAAAATAAAAAATTTCATATGGAAACATAAAAGACCACAAATAGCCAAATAATCCTTAGCAAAAGAAACAAAGTGGGAGGTATCATACTTCTAGACTTCAAACTCTACTATAAAGCTACAATAATCAAAACAGCCTGGTAGTGGTACAAGAACAGGCATATAGACCAATGGAACAGGATAGAGATTCTGGAAGCAAAACCTCAATTTCTCAACCAACTCATCTTTGACAACGCCTCTACCAACAACCAATGGGGGAAGAACCTTTCAGTAAATGGTGCTGGGAAAACTAACTGACCATATGCAGAAGATAAACATGATTCCTTCCTATCACCATACACAAAAATAAACTCTAAATGAATCAACGACCTAAATGTAAAACCCCAAATGATAAGAATCCTAGAAGAAAACATAGGAAACAGGAAACTGGAATAGGCAAGAAGACATACGAACAGCCAACAGATTAAAAAAAAAAATACTCAGCCTCACTAATAATCAAAGAAATGCAAACTAAAACCACACTGAGATACCACCTAACTCCAGTCCGGATGGCCATATTCAATTAACTCAAAAAACAATAGATGCTGGAGAGGATGTGGGGTAAAGAGAACACTTTTACACTGCTGGTGGGCATGTAAACTAATACAACCTCTGTGGAAAACAGTGTGGTAATTTCTAAAAGATCTAATTGACCTTCCATACAACCCAGCAATCTCTCTTCTGGGAATATACCCAGAATAACTCAAATCACTCTATGAAAAAGATACCTGTACACGCATGTTTACTGCAGCATTATTCACAATAGCAAAAACATGGAACCAACAATGCTGCCCATCAGAAGTGGAATGGATAAAAAAAATGTGGTACATTTACAGGATGGAATATTATGCAGCCATAAAGAAAAACAAAATTATGAACTTTGCAGCAACTTGGATGGAATTAGAATCTACACTACTCAGCAGAAACAAAGATCTGAGTACGACATGTACTCACTCATAAGTGGATCCTGAATATTATTATAATACTAACAAGAAAGGGATTGGCAGTAGTGGAAAACTGACAGGAGAGGGGGGACACATAACATCCGTAAGGGTACCCACACTTTACCTGTGTAATGACCACTTATATACCTAACCCTGAATTGTACCCCGCATCTTTAAAAGAAAAATAGAAGAAAAAATATAAAAACACAAAAGACAAAAAAAGGCAAATGCAAAGATGTGCTTCTTGAGCATATGTCCTTATTGTGCCCACTTATATCCATGCACTCCCATGTAATTTCATTCTATTGAGCGCAAAGGAGGCAGAATCTCCTATGCAAGTAAGCTAGAATGGATGGTATGTAGTTGGGCTACAGATTCTAAGAATGATGCTCCCTAACAAAAATGTAGAGAAGGCAGGCGCTGCTGTGGATACTCCAGACTCTATCCAAATGTCGCTCCTCCACCGAGACCGCTCTACCTGACACTGTTTAGAAAGGACAGCTGCTGCTTCTTGACTCAGCTTAAAACTTACTTTGTACAAGAGGCCCACTGGACAAATGGATCTCAAGTAGCTCCCCTTTGCCCAAACACACACACGCACACACACACACGCATGCACCACACCCTTAATTTCATGTCAGCTTCGTATTTGTTTCCTTCAAGGTGTTTTCACATTGATAGGTGCTTTATTTATTAAATTACAGAAGTTGCTTTAAAACCTCTCCCCCTTTTACAAAGTCCATGAGGCCAGCATGCAACACAGTATGTACTAAATACATATTTTAAAAATATCAAATAAACAAAATATGTGTTCAGTCAAGACCTATTACTCCTTCTGTAGGTCGATAATACTCTCTCCCATTGGTCTAATTCTTATCTGTGCTTGAAAGCATTTATCATATTACCAAGGGGGACCAAAAAAACCCCGGAATGTATTTTAAAATTGTGTATTTATTCTTACATGTTTAAACTTCAGTCACCTTCAAAGTACTCTCCGTTTGATGCAACACACCAATCAAGTTGCTTTTTCCACTGCTCAAAACAGGGGTTTTGAATTCATCAGTTCTGGTGCCTTTTAGTGTTTCTATCATTTTTGGTTATATGTCTTCCACGTGGACAAAACATTTACCTTCGAGGACTTTTTTATCCGGGAGGGGAAAAAAAAGTCACTCTGGGTGAGATCAGGTGAACAGGAATGATGGGGCAATGGGGT